AACTTTGAGATGTACAGATTTATAAAGTGATCAATAAAAATATATCATATTTCAGGTAAAAACACTCAGAGAAACCAAATCCTGTAAAGGTTTGGATGGTGGGTCCAGGTGGGCGGGGCTTGGTGACTGCTTTGTTGTGACATCACAAAGTTCCAGAAGTCCTGACGACAAAGTCTCATCCATCCCAAGTTGATCTGTGATTTTATATTTTATATTTTTTATCCTACACTTTCAAATAAAAAAAACAAATTTCATGTGAAGAAAAATGAAGATTTTCCTCGTTTCAAGAACAGATGAAGTTTCTCTGCAGGTGTTTGACACTTGAGCTCGTGTCCGTTGTTTCTCCTCGCTCAAAGTTTTTCCTCGCTCCTCGCCGCCGCCCCGTGAATCATTAACAGCAGAGTAATTATGCACTATCAAACTTGGAATATTACCCCACTTAGCTAATGTTTAATGCTGTAATTAATTCTGAACCCTGCGAGCCAACATCAATTCATTTGATTAGTACTTTGCAAAGTCACACAGAGGTTTTTTACTGTTTTTAGGTGTGTGTGTGTGTGTGTGTGTGTGTGTGTGTGTGTGTGTGTGTGTGGCTTCCATATTAATTAAAGTGTGATCCGGAGAGTGAGAATGTGATAAATGAGAATTCAACGCTTCAGTTTTCTTGTCTTTTATTTGTTGTTTTGTTTTTCATTAATTGTTCCTTCACTATAAAAAAGAGTTTCCTGCTCTTCAGTTTTACCACGAGCAGAGTGACGCAGTGCGGAAGGTCCCTGTGCCCCTCACTCATTACCACTACTGATGTGTTCTTGAGCAAGGCACCCGACTCCCACCTGCTCCAGTGGAGCTACAGATCAGACTGGTCATACTGGGCCGCTTCTTTATAACTGCGTGTGAACAGGTTGATTTAGAAAAATGTGAAACTTCTTAATAACAACCAACAACTTGTCTTTAAATCCTGAGGTCGTTTTAATCATCGTATTACACACCGGAGCCGTGTCCCAATCCAGGGGCCCCGTCCCTCAGAGGCCAGACTTTCTAGACCACAAAGACCAAATCCAAATGAGAGGATTTCCTGTTTATCCTTAAACAGAGTCCTTCATCCTCCTTTTGTAAAGTGACTTATCAGGTGGCAGCGAGTCTTGGGATAGGTCGGCCCACGTCGCCCAGAAACGAATAGTGTCTGGATAGTGTATTGTACTGTGTCTATCCTCTATCAGATGGTTCCAGCTCTTAGGATGTTTATACCGTCTGACTCTTCACTGGAGTTTACAACAAGATTTAAGTTCGTACTGACTCAGGGTCTGTCTGTCTGTGAATGAGATGTGAACAGGTGTGAACACAGGTAGAACGAGATTCCCCTGAGGAGACTGGGTTGTGTTGGTGGTGATGAATGTTTGGCTTTATGAACCAAATATTATATTGTGTAAAAATAGAATAATTTCTACTGTTTCTGTTTCAAACGAGGTGAGAGGCCTTCACAATAAAACGCAACAGGAAACCCTTTTATTAAAATAAAGTCAACATCAGCATCATCATCTTATCGTCATGGTGACAGCAGCAGAGGGAGTCGTGCCGGTTCGCTCTGTTTCTGACTCTCACTGTGTCACTTTGTTGTTTGTCGACTGTCCTGTTTTAAATAAAGGTTACACACAGCTGAACGGCGGTGGTGATGTACCACTCACACTGCAGTAATTACAGCTGACAGCAGCACACACACACTCGTCCTAAAATATGGAGAAGACACTGATAAGAGAGGAAGGACAGATATGAGCGTAAACACACACTTTGATTCACATTAACACACACGCTGAACATTTGGTTATATTCAGAAAACACACACACGCACACTCTCTCTCTGGACGTCGGTTATCATCGTCATTCTTATTGTCTTTTGTCACTCGATGTCCTTGTCTTGGAGGGCGAGTGGAGCGATAAAGCCGCCGTCTCTGTCGTGTTTTTAATAAGTTTTATCTGACGACTCGAAACAGACAAACAACGTCAAAACTCAAACTGAGTCTGACGGGAGCGCTCACTTCTCTGCACAGAGGTCATCAGGACGCGCCGCTCTCCCTGTTTAGGAGCAGACGCCAACGCTGTGTTAACGCTTTAATTATCCTCAGTATTTCAGTCGGTGTATGTTTTTGGTTGAGGAAAGGTCTTCTTATTGACTGCTTCAGTATACTTCTACAAATATATGTAGTTAATAATAATTGAAGACAAACTGTCTGACAGTGAAGGTGCTGTAGATTTAAAAAACAATGAAAGCACCAGAGGCCGAGACATCCTGACGTTTATTCCCTAGCTCCAAAAACAATGCATCCTGCATTTCCCACAATGCAACACAGTAGCCTTTTCCACTAGAGCCTGGCCGGCTGTCTCTTAATCTGTCAGGCAGCAGTTTGAGACACAAACCAAACGCAGAAAACACTGTTTATCACTCTGAGGTAGTTTAGTATAGTTACAGTATTTTGCAGTATAACTACTTTTATTCATGTGAAACTCCAGCCCTCCGACACCGAGCTGTTTTTCAAAACAACCAACTGAACAGTTGAAGCAGATCTGGCTGAATTTTTCCACTTATTGACTACAAGTAATACGTTTTTGGGGATTTCTCTCTTTTCAAGCTGAAATGTGTCATTTGTCTCAGTGAGTTCTTCTGAATGTTGATGCTCATAAAACAGCTCATAGAAGCATTTTAGAAATCTGTGACCCAGATGCCCAGCGGACGCTTGTCCTTGCAGCGTTTGCTGTGTATAGTTTTTGTCCTGGTGGACTTGAACGCCTCTCTGTGTGTATCCTGAGTCTCACTCCGCTGTCTGCTGTCCCGTAAAGACAAAAGACTCTGAGGAAAGAAGGAAAGAAAAAAACATTATGATGGCATTAAATCACTTGGCCAAGCTCTGTGTAAAAGGCTGGAAGGGTAACGTGATGTATAGTGGTCGTGGTTGCCAAGGTTTCCGGCTGATGAAAAAACTCAGGTCGCCATACATCTTCAAAAAGCAGACACTGTTAAATCAGTCTCTTTATTTGCCGAGTAAACATATTGCACCTGCTGCAGAAACAGATGTTAGCTCCTGTTCTTTCACATGACAGGCTAATTCATGTGATTAGCTCGCTGCTCAATCAGCTGTGATACATGATTTGTAGAAACTCATCAAACAGTGAGAAGGAAAAAACAAATAAAAACATTAATATCGGTTAATATCCTGACAGGACGCAGCTCCGTAGGCTGACTGTAGCTAACCCTGGCCCGAGTCTGGCCCTGCATATGTCCACGGTGTGACCATGTGGGGACCTGGGTGTGACCATGTGGGGACCAGGGTGTAAGGGGTCTCTTCTGATGTCATCTGCCCACCTGTGCGTGGATGTCCCTCAGGTTTGGGAGTGGCTGTAGGTGCGTCCTCTCTTTCCACCGTAGATAGAAACTGAGTGGGGGTTTCTGGGGGGGTTTGTTGCGCCGCATGTGGCCCAATTACGGGCCGGATGTGTGTTGATATGTGATTGAGGGTAAGGACACTTGAACTGGAAACCTGTGCAGTTAACCTGCACTTCACCTCCACTGTAAACTTTAGCGTGATGTGTGCTCGTCTAAAGCGATGTGCTACTTCCTCGTCAGCTGTGTGATCGTTATTTTAAAGCGTTGCCGCGGTAACTCACTGAATGTCTAATTCCATCTCTGTATTGTTCCCTCTGTGTAATTAGCTCCACCAGTGACTTTATGTAAAATAGTTCTGCCAAGTTTTAATTTGATTAAAAGTCGGCGTGTTATTGCGAGGAAGAACAATGTAGATCCAATTAGCACTGTAACGTGTAAACATGAACACTAACTCCCATGGTGCACCAGGGTCTGCAAGGGTGTGTGTGTGTGTGTGATTCAGTGATCAGTCTCATTTCTTAATCATCACTTTCTGCTCCAGATGAGACTTTATGAGGGGACTAAATTGCTTTAAAGGGATTTCTTATTAAAGGGATTACACCCATGTAATCCCCTTTGTCCCAGCGGACCCCCAAAAACCTGAACACACACACACACACACACACACATTACCAGATTAGCATGTGGAAATAAATGTGCACAATGTTTTTGACACGCTACAAATGAAAACACACGTTAAACGACGGAGCACAAGAGTCACATGACGCCGGTGAAAATCGTGCACCTGATTGTGTGTGCACGTGTTCATCACACAAAAAGTTTAAAGTGTTTCTAAGTGTGTATTTATAACCTTGACGTGAATCTGTGTGTGTGTGTGTGTGTGTGTGTGTGTGTGTGTGTGTGTGTGTGTGCAGCGTAACGCCGTGGTTTTGGCGGCGCTCCCTCGTCTCATCCCCAATTAACAAAGACAAATCCGCTTCTATCGCTGCTAATGAGAGTCTTTAAGGTGAAGGGACTCTGTATTTATTTAATAAGAAGAAGATTATTTATTCCATTTCCATGAGAAAGAAAAACCGCCGCTGATTCTCCACGGCTGCTGAGGGACGGATTAGAGGAGGAGGAGGAGGAGGAAGAGCTGGAAAGAAAGGATGAGGGAAAGGGGATAAGGAGTGAGAGGAGAAGAACAGGCTGGATGAGGAGGTGGAGAGGGGGAACGATGCATCGGGGGACGAGGGTGACGAAAGGAGGGATTAGATGAGCAAGAGGAGAAGGAAGGAAGCATGGAAGAGAAGGTAGAGGAGGAGAAGAAGGACAGGGTTACAGGGAGAGGAGAAAAAGTAAACTTAGAGGAGGACGAGGTAGAAGAGAGGGAAAGAGTGATGGATTTGAGGAGGAAGGAGAGCAGGAGCGGTCGTAGAGATGGAGGAGGAGATGGGTGAAGAAAGAGTAGAAGAGGAGGAGGAGGAGGAGAGTATAAGAGTGAAAGGAATAAAGTTAGAGTTGTCCAGAATAAAAAGAGTAGAGGAGGAGGAGGAGGAGCTCAGAGGTCGAAGTAAGGAAGGAGGAAAAGGGGACAAAGGGTTGGAGGAAGTTGAACCTTTTCTGACATGTGTTCCTGCAGGTGGAGCTGACGGGCAGCAGCGTCTTCGACTACATCCACCCCGGCGACCACGTGGAGATGGCGGAGCAGCTGGGCATGAAGCTTCCTCCGGGCCGAGGGATGTCTCTGTCCCAGGGAAACGTCAATGAAGACGGGGCGTCCTCCGCGTCGTCGTCGTCGCACTCTGAGACTCCAGAACCAGGTAGGACAACGAGGGAGAGAGGGAGGAGAACAGGCGGGAAACTTGTGTTTGTCCCACAGGGCAAAGACGAGGCCTGGACGGTCCTTCATCATCATCATCATCACTTTTCATGACCTTTGAACTCAACTCAAGCCTCCAGTCTGGTCTCACTGACTGACTCCAGGTCTGTTGAGTGTTTGAAAAATGTTTTCAACAGCGACAGGATCAATATTTGATCAATGATTTGTGTTATTAGTTCAAATATATTGTGTTATAATTCTCCCTCGAAGCAGCTGTTCCCAACATGTGAGCTGCGGCCCCCTGGTGGACCTCGAAGGTATTGCAAGTGAGCTAACGAATCATTTTCAAAACAGCACAAAATTTATTTATATAAAAAAAAACAAAAGAAATAGAAATAATGTTTTTAAATGTTTAAAACGAAGTGATATTTAAAATGTTTAAAAATAAAAAAGAAGGCATCATCTGGCCTCTGGACTATAATGCCGTTGGATGTGGGCCGCCAGTGTTTTTGAGTTTTTCAAGTGGGACATGAATTAGAAAAGGTTGGGAACCTTAAAGGAGTTGAGCAGCAAAGACTGGAAGTCTGACACAAAGTTAATGTGGTGATTAACTAGAGGAGTCGTGCTCAGCTGCTGACTGAACATTCAACACACACATATGAAGGTGATACTGATGATGAAAACATCTGGAGCGTATTTTCACAAACCGTCGACTTTCCCTTTAAATGGATCCTCGTTCATTCAGATGTTTGTCTAACGTCCCTCCATCGCCACAACTTCCCGCCATCGCCGCTGTGAGTTTGAATATGATTAGTGCGCCGCATTGAAAAGCCTTGGCCGCTGTAAAGTGGGGGAAGGACACAGTCTTCATTTGGATTCTCTGCGTTGCGTCTCCCATCCCTCCATCCGTCTGTCCCTCTATCCTCTCCTCCACCACATGTTCAAGACTTTTTACCTTTTCATTGTGCCCCCCCGTCTCTCTCTATCTCTCTCTATCTCCCTCTCTGTCTCTCTCCCCCTCTCTCATGCTGATGATAATTTAAGTATTAGGGGAAAATCCATTTATAAATTAAACAAAATGACTTGATATCCATCGAGTCCCTTAGTTCATCAGCCTGTTCAAACAAGGAGGGGAAGATTGGCTTTGCGACGGCCAGAGTCTTTGGAGACAGTGCGGTAATTAGATCTGCCGCGGATTTATTCTTGGCTGATTGGTGCTGGTGATGGGTGTGTGTGTGGGGAGGGGAGGGGAGGGGAGGGGGGCTTTAAATTAATTGGAGTTCCACATTTGAGGTTTTTGTTCTTTTATTTTTTTTTCTTTGACTTTCTGCAAACCTCCACCCGAGCCTCCCCACGCTCCACGCTGGAGATGGAGAGACAGACGGAGGATAAGAGGACATATATGTGGTTGTCAGTGTCAATTTGTCTGGAGAGAGAGAAAAGAAAAGAAGATCTAAAACAATGAGGGGGTGTTTCCCAATGCTAATTTGCCCTAAAGATAGAGCGATATGAAAACATTGAAGAAGAAAAAAAAGAGGGACAGGGGTTTGTATTAATGTCTCAGTGATTCCCAAAGTTAATTTGACCAGAGAGAGAAAAAGAGCCAAAGAGACGGACGAGGACAAAGGTGTTTGTTCTCCCATGTTAATTTGCCTAGAAAGAGGGAGATGCAAAGCGAGGAAGAGGAAGGGAGGCGAGGGATGTAGGGACGTGTTTGAATGTGCATGAGTGCTTAGCAATGTTAATTTCTCGACAGAAGAAGAGAGAGAAGGGAGGGAGAGGTTTCAGATGGACATGCATGAATGTGAAGGAGAGATCCCCAATGATGATGTGACCAGGGAGAGAGAGGGAGAGAGAGGGGACGAGGGAGGATTAAGATTCATGTATGTGTTCTTTAATGTTAATTTGTCTGGAGAAAGGGCGGTGGAATAAAAAGAGGGAGAGGACGGGGGGGGGGGGGGGGGGGGGGGGCTCGTATGAATTTGTATGAGTGTTTCCCAGGAGGAGGCGGGGCGAATATCAGGTGTCCTGGGTAATAGGCCTGTTCATTCCTCCCTCAGACAATCAGTTCTCCTGTAGGTCTATCCCCTGTGTCTCAGCAGGAGCAAACCCACTCCTTCACGCTCCTGCAGGACTCTCAGCGTTTGGTTGGACGTCTGCTAAATACGACGTATCGCTCTGTGTCATCTCTCTCTTCATGTCCGCAGTCTTTGTCAACGCACATGCACGCTTCGAAAACGCCAATCAGACACTCGGTTACCTGTACTCAGAGAAATCAGGGTTCTCTAATGAGTTACCCCAGTTACGGAAACCAGGTATCTGTGACAGTTGATGAAATCCTGCTGCCAGTGTGAGGTGACTGAATATTTCAGCATCCACACTAATATGATTTAGTTAAACGCATCACTGAAGTTTTCCAGCCGCTCAAACAGATTCTCTGATTCGTCACGTTCCAAACACGTGACCGGTAACACGTGACCGGCCTCAGACTACCATGGTGAATACAACATGATAATGAATTACAAGCGTTACTGACCGCGTTGTCTTTGCTAGCAGCTGTTGTTCACTTACATTTTGCATTTTATAAAGAAAAGAAATCTCTGCCCTGACTTTTGTTCCTTGTTCATAGTATTTTCTACAACTAAGCAACCACCTGCAGAGTTAACAATCTGCTTCCTGTTCACACCGGCGCACATGAAGTCTTTGTGAATAGTAATGTAATGTGTGTTTTGAGGTGTGACGGAGATTATTTCTGATTTATCTGGATTGTGTCGTGGCCTTAGAAGGACATGACACTCCTCCGGTTGATGAAATACCTTTAAATACAACGAGAGTATAATGGAGAACCACTGGTGCCACAGTGCATGGAGCGCTCTGTTGGTTTTAAAGGGTGTTCAGAAATGTTTTCACAGTGATGTCTTATTGATGATCATCATACAGTAGCTTCATTAAGATAAAGGATACTTTTTATTTAAATGCAAGTTATAAAGACTCTAACTTCTGCGTCGTTGTCAGAAAGTTTGTAGACTGAATTAATTGTGCTGCCTGCAGCTCTTATAACCACGTGTGACCTGATGAAGCAGCTTCAGTTTCTGGGTAAAGTCATTCTCTGGTCTCCAGTCTCTTCTTCATGGGTGGTCAGAAGTTCCTGGAATCATTAGTCAGTCTTTGCTCTAATGTTTTGTGTTGCTCTCTCATTATTGAGGTTTGTATTGCATTTCCCAGTGCAGCATGTCCAGTGTGTGCACCGTGTCAAACACAGTGTTTAGGGAAGTAGCACGACTCAGGTTGTGTTGCTGAAATGTTTCTATGAGAGCTTTTGTATTTCTTCTTTAACATTACCTTCACGGCGTCCTCCTCTGCAGACGTGAGTAATGCATTTCCACAGGCGCTCTCCTCATTCGTTTTCATTCCAGTCGATACCTGGCAAACGTCGCGCCTGCTAACGTGTCCGGTTGAGCTTCTCCATTTGTTTCCTCCTCCTCCTCCTCCTCCTCCTCCTCCTCCTCCTGTGCCTCCTCCCCCTTGATGTCTCTTTGTCTCTGTTGTCCTCCCTCGCCAGCATTCCTCTATTCATCACCTGCCTCTTCTTTCATGCAGCGGGCAGTCTCTCCGATCGATCACTGCTGACTTGGTTTGTCTGTGAAGTTTTGCATCCACTGCACCCGCTGCACCCACTACATCCACTGCACCCACTGCATCCACTACATCCACTGCACCCGCTTCATCCACTGCACCCACTGCATCCACTGCACCCACTGCATCCACTGCACCCACTGCATCCACTGCATCCACTACACTCACTGCATCCACTACACCCGCTGCACCCACTACATCCACTGCACCCGCTGCACCCACTGCACCCACTGCATCCGCTGCATCCACTGCATCCGCTGCATCCACTACATCCGCTGCACCCACTGCATCCGCTGCATCCGCTGCATCCGCTGCATCCACTACATCCACTGCACCCACTGCATCCACTGCACCCACTACACCCGCTGCACCCACTACATCCACTGCATCCGCTGCACCCACTGCATCCGCTGCATCCACTGCATCCGCTGCATCCCCTGCATCCACTGCATCCGCTGCATCCGCTGCATCCACTACATCCACTGCATCCACTACATCCACTGCACCCACTACACCCGCTGCATCCACTACATCCACTGCATCCACTACACCCGCTGCACCCACTGCATCCACTGCACCCGCTTCATCCACTACACCCACTGCACCCGCTGCATCCCCTGCATCCACTGCATCCGCTGCATCCGCTGCATCCACTACATCCACTGCATCCACTACATCCACTGCACCCACTACACCCGCTGCATCCACTACATCCACTGCATCCACTACACCCGCTGCACCCACTGCATCCACTGCACCCGCTGCAGCCACTGCACCCACTGCACCCGCTTCATCCACTACACCCGCTGCACCCACTGCATCCACTACACCCACTGCACCCACTACACCCGCTGCATCCACTGCACCCACTGCACCCGCTTCATCCACTCCACCCGCTGCACCCACTGCATCCACTACACCCACTGCACCCACTACACCCACTGCACCCACTACACCCACTGCACCCACTACACCCACTGCACCCACTACACCCACTGCACCCACTGCATCCACTGCATCCACTACACCCGCTGCATCCACTGTACCCACTGCACCCGCTTCATCCACTACATCCACTACATCCGCTGCATCCGCTTCATCCACTGCACCCACTAGGGTGCTAATGATTTGCAGTGGAGTGTCGGGTCATGTTTTTCTCTGTTAACTTTATCTTGAGGAAGAGATGGAAGAGAGGAGGAGTAAAGACGTGGTCATTTACCAAATTGCATTGTGTCTTTTTTGTTTCAGTAAAACAACACAAACAGAAAAACAAACCTCGGAAACACAAATGTCAATTTATAGCACAACGTTCTGCAGATGAAAAACCAGCCTGTTGATTTATTTATTGAAACAATGGATCATTGG